CTGTTGTGTAACTGTCACCACCATCCATCTCCAGAAATTGTTCATCTTCCTCAGCTGAAACTCTGCACCCATAAGCAGTAACTCTCAGTTTTTCCCTCCCTGCAGCCCCTGGCCCCCAGCATTCTACATTCTGTCTCTATAAATTTGACTATACTATGTGCCTTGTAAAAGTGGTATCATACAATATTATCCCTTCGTCACTGGCCTATTTCACTGAGCATAAAGTCTTCAAGGTTATAGCCCATGTTATAGCATATGTCAGAATGTCCTTCTTTTTTAAGGCTGAATTGTGTTCCATTGCCTGTATATCCCACATCTTATTTATTCATCCATCCACTGATGGGCATGTGGGCTCTTTCACCTTTTAGCTGTTGTGAGTAACAATGTCTTTTTGAGTCCCTGCTTTTAATTCCTTGGAATATATGCCAAGAATTTGGGTTGCTGGATCATACGGTAACTGTATACATAATTGAGAAATCATCATATTGTTTTCCACAGCAGCTACACCATTTTACATTCCCACAGGCAATGTATAAGTGTCCCACTTTCTCTACATATTCACCAAAACTGTGAGCCTCTGTTTTTGTTTTGTTTTGTTTTGTTTTGTTTTTAATAGCAGCCATCCTAATGGGTGTGAAGTGGTACTTGGCTACTTTTGAGGAATAACAAGCCCTGTGGTGCCAGGACAGAGTGAGTGAGAGGAAAGCAGTCAGGGATAAGGACAAAGAGAAAGCAGGAAGCCAGATCCTTCATGGAAGATCTGAGTCACTGTGAGGAATTCGACTGTTACTCTAGGTGTGATGGAAACCCTAGGAAAACGTGAGTTTCACATGTTGCCTACTGATTTTCATGTTCTGTGAACTACATATTGGATTCTCAACGTAAGGAAAGGACTTCTCCAGGATTTGAACAAAGGCATGGAGACAGTTCGCAGAGCTGTCAATAGATCTTCAGTTTCTGATAACACAATGAGGCCTGAACTATCTGCATTCTTGCATCTGCCACCCTCTCTAGACACCAAAGCAGAGATCCCATACGGCCACCCATGGGAAAGTAACACGATGGACTGCTTTCACTGAAGCTGTTCACTTATGTATTATCTCTAGACAGGACTCCATCACTTAAAAATCAAACAAAAATCATTTTAGTACAATTCACTATTGTAGGTTATTCCCACCATTATCATGGATAATCAAGAACTGACATGGAGATAAAGAGGGCTTTTTCTGCAACCTGGTGAAATTAAGAACCCCAAAGACAGGCATAGAGAGACTCTCAGAAAGGGGGCAGGAACCATGTAAATTAGGTACTCACAAGCCTTGCAGAATTAAATAGATGAATCCAGGCCCAAACCCCAGATGCCTCAGGAAGGACTGTCAAAAAATGTCTGAAATGATCAGAGCTGGAAAGAGAGAAAGGGCCCCAAAGGGAAGCCTGAAATCACATTTATGAGAGGCATAGAGTACTTTCATAACCTCACTTCCTCTGGGCAAAAAGGATGAAAGCTTTTACATCAAGATGAGAAGTCCAAGGAGTTATCCAATTTCTCAACAATAAACAATCTGAAGAGAATGGCTGCCCAACCATTTATAAATGTTAAAAAATACACACTTGTATGTGTGGGAAGCAGGGGAGATAGAGGGTAGAGAAGGAGAAACATTTTTGCTTCCTTCCCACAACATCTTTGGAGTCACTGCTTCATGCACATACCACTCTAGTATCATTGCACCATTATTTGGGTAAACAAGCAGATAGCCAGAGCTTCTCTAGAGGCTGTATAGACACCACATAATCTGGTATCATTCCAGGATGGTTGTGAACAAGGCAAATTTCTTAGTCCCTCGGGGATAACTGCAGAGAAGATAGAGTTAAATGCAATGCTCCTCATTCGTGATTTGACACATTTACAGGTTTAGTTTCAGTCATAATCCAGTTTTGGAAACTCTTAACATTTCTATCACACCTATCAAGATGATGAGCTTGATGAATCAGAAAAGCCTGAGCTTCTGCTTCTAGAGGTCTTCAAAAACTAGATAGGCTACCAGGGAGAATCAAAGTGAGATTTCCCAAACAGAAATCAGAAAGAGAGCTGGGAAAAGTGAGAAAATAATGTGATACACTGATGTCAACAGTGAAAATAAATGTGTTCTCTACTTACTTTTATGATTATCTACTCCATTTTCTCAACCCTGAATCCTATAAACACAGAACACCTAATAAAAGTCCTCAGGAATCTCACTGTGGTTTTGATTTTTATTTCCCTGATGATGAGTGATGTTGAGCACCTTACACCACCTCATCCTGTCAGGATGGCTACAAGTGTTGGCAAGACTGCAGAGAAAAGGGAACCCTCTTACCCTCTTGCACTATTGGTGGGAATGCTAACTGGTGCAGCCACTTTGGAGAACACTATGGAGGTTCCTCAGAAAACTGAAAAAAGAAGTGCCCTATGATCTAGAAGTTTCACTATTAGGTATTAACCCAAAGGATATGAAAATACAAAGGGGTACATGTCTCCCTATGTATATAGCAGCATTATCAACAATAACTTATCTATGGAGAGAACCCAAATGTCCACTGACTGTTGAATGAGTAATGAAGATGTTGTGTGTGTGTGTGTGTGTGTGTGTGTGTGTGTGTGTGTAATGGAATATTACTCAGCCATCAAAAAGAATGACATCTTGCTATTTGAAATGAAGTGGATGGAGCTAGAATGTATTATGCTAAGTGAAATAAGTCAGTCAGAGAAAGACAAATACCATATTATTTCACTCATATGTGGAATATAAGAAAAAACAGATGAACATATGGGGTGGAAGAGGAGAGAGGAAAACATCACAAGAGACTCTTAATGATAGAGAACAAACTGAGGGTTGATGGAGGGAGGTAGTTGGGAGATGGGCTAGATGGGTGATGGGTATTAAGGAGGGCACTTGCTGTGATGAGCACTGGGTGTTATATGTAAGGGAAAAATCACTGAATTCTACTCCTGAAACCAATATTGTACTGTATGTTAACTAAATAAGATTATTTGAATATAAAAATAATACAAAAAATCCTGAGGAATAAACAGTAGAAGGAAACATATCTGCCTATCCACCTTATTTTCCAAACTAAAGCTGTAATGTACTTACAATGAACACTTTGTCTTTGTTTACAATGAGCACTAATCTACACTCATTTTTTTCCAAGAAGTCTTATAAACAGCTTTTTTTTTTTTCAACCAAATCCTTCCTTTCAAAGCACAGAATCTAAAAAACCATCCAGTGGTCCTATATATCACTCTACTCTGTATCCACTTTTAGATTAGCAGTTTTGTGTGGTCAGAGCCCATGGTTTATTCTACCATGTACACACTAAGTAATATGCTACACACAAGGGGGTTTAGAAAGGCCGGCTATCTCTCTGGTTATCTTCATTCATATCTTTAAATGCAACCTTCTGTCCTTCCATGTAAGTACTTGGATGTCTCTTTCTGTCTGTATTCTCTCACCAGACTTGGCTTGGTTCCTGTCATTGCCCTAGGTAGCTGCTCACATACTCACCATTTCCCTTGGAAAGTCAATTTTGTTTTGTTTTGTTTTGTTTTGTTTTGTTTTGTTTTGTTGTAGGAAATACACCAGACAATCTGAGTCATATGAAAGATGTATAATGCCTCAAAGTCCTGAGTTTTTATCCAAATATAGATCAATACGACTTCTGAACGAATATCCGTCTACCTCACCCCAGCTCTGGCAACATAATCTACAACAACTAGCCTCTATAACCACTTATTAAGGGAAACTCTTCATCCCTCTTCCCTAGTTCTTTCTGGTCTCCAGTTGGCCTTGTGGTTTGTATAATACAAGAAAAAAAAAAGGACAAGCATAAAGCAAAAGAATGTACCATAAAAATCACTTTTATCAATTTGGAATATACTTTGTGAAGGAAACTGGTTTTTCCAGATGATTTTTCTTTAAGGTTAAAATGTAACTGCCTTCTGGAAGCACATAACATGTATCAAATTATGACCGAGAAACATTGCAAAAGAACTGCTGGAAGGCAAGAGAAAGACAGCTAGAAATAAACATTTGCCACATATAATCAATAAAACAGATGTCATGCATGGATAAGTGCTGTCTGGGCTTCTCGTGTTGGGGTACATCCCACAGTGTACATGGTAGTTGGGAGGAGAGAAGGGTGGAGAACATTTTAAGACTGCAGAGGCCTTTAAAATTAAAGAGTTTCAAATATGCTTGAGATAACAACAAACTGCCTCTTGGAGACCCAGTGTCTTAAAGACCACTAGGCAGCCACACCCCAGGGGAACTTGGTAATCTCTTCCTCCTACAGCCTGACCTGACCTATAATCAATCCCCCACCACAACTGTTGTAAATTAGATAAGAGAGGCAGGGAGATACCTTCAGCAGCTGTAAAAAATAGATATCTAATTCCTTAAGCAAGGAGGAAGAAGACGCTCAAATTCTCTCTGATGGTGGATAGACCACCTTATGAAACTGGCCCTGCTATTCGGCAGAGTTCACAGCAATTTCCTCCCTAAGAAGATATGACACAGACACTTTCAGACTCTCCAGTGAGAAAGTGTGGCAAAACATGAAGGAGGCAGCTGAGCCAGGTGGAAGAATCTTCATTCATTCAAAAAACATGTCTAAGCACACTATGTGCTGGGCCCTGTGAGAAAGACAAAGATGAATAAAGCAAGCTCTGCACGAGGTCAGAAAGGAAAGGCCAGGGAGGAGGGCAAAGCAAAGAAAGAGGTGGGAAGGACTAAGGAGGAGTAGGGCCAGGGAATAACCCAGAAATCCTACCTGTTCTTCCCAAAATTGCAAGGCCTTTGGCCTGCACCCGCCAGTCCAAAGTCTAGCTCTGGAGCCATGAAATACCCTCTGCTCAAACTGCCCAGAGCTTTGACAGCTAGCGGCACTCCAAGCCCAGTTTCTTCCACTCTGGTTCTGTCTCCGTTTTCTTGCTAATTCTATAAACACAAGAAATCACTTACCCATGGCCTTTTTCTTCCTCAGAGGATAACACCTGAGAAGAAAGCTTAAGCAAAACCAGGGAAAGAAAAGGAGCTTGGCCAAGCAGAGTCAGGACTTGGAGTGGGAGCCCAGGGGGCCCTCGGGGAGGCGGGTCCTCAGGGGGGCGGGGCCCTCCAAAGGTAGGTGAGAGGAATGGTGGAACAGGGTAAAGAATGTGGATTAGTTGGAATCCTGGAGGCCCTGCATGGGTGAGGAGGTGGACTGAGGACTTAAATGGGACGTTATTTGACTCTTTGTTGCCAGAAAGTTGTGAAATTAGAGTAAGCTTGGGGCGCCTGGGTGGCGCAGTCGGTTAAGCGTCCGACTTCAGCTCAGGTCACGATCTCGTGGTCAGTGAGTTCGAGCCCCGCGTCAGGCTCTGGGCTGATGGCTCAGAGCCTGGAGCCTGTTTCCGATTCTGTGTCTCCCTCTCTCTCTGCCCCTCCCCCGTGCATGCTCTGTCTCTCTCTGTCCCAAAAATAAATAAACGTTGAAAAAAAAATTAAAAAAAAAAAAAAAGAAATTAGAGTAAGCTTTCCAGGGTCCTGGGTATGGAGGAAGTTCTGCTTGGCAGGAGGAGAGTGTGGGGAGCCAGATGGAGCCCCACCTGTGGTGCTTTGGGGCAAGTCCCAGATCCGGCTAAAGAGCCCACTCAGCAGTCCTTTAAACAAGGATAGAAACATCCCCCACCCCAGCAACTCCGTGTCTCAGAATCTCCTACTGGATTCCTCTACCACCATCCATCCCCATCTCCTCACCTATGTTTCCCATCACTCTGGAACTAAAACTACAAGGGAACTGGCTTAAGCTTCACCACAAGGAATTTTCTGAGACAGTCATTCAGAGTTCATAGTGCACTGTAACTGAATATGCATTGAGCATTGTGCTGGAGTAAATAAAGCCACAGACTCCCTGCCTAAACAGCTTCCTGCTCTAATCATTCAAATAGTAGGTCTTCCAAGATCCTGAAACAGTGACAAAAGGAAGGTGCCTCTTCCTTCCCAGAACATTAATCTTCAAACAGAGGCAAGACTTTTCAGAGATAGAGAACATGGGGCCTACTTAGAGACCCAGAACTGAATGGAGGATTATCAAGAAGCATTTGATCTAAAGGAAAAAGGGCACCACTGCCTCTACTTAATAATACTGAGATTCCTCTAAACTCTAAATTAGTTGCCATAATGACTGTGATGGAGATAGAAGGAGGGGAGAAAAGGGTAGTGGCAGGATTCTCTAGGGACAGAGTCTATACTAACTACACTAAAGCAGATAATTGGAACTGGAGCAGAAAGAATTTCTCCAGATTTCGGGAAGAACCTCCAACTGAAGAAAACCTGCAAATCACATTGACCCTGCACTAACACATCTCTAGTAGGCATGAACCAAGGGAACTAATTCAGTACTTCTTTTGTAGATGGTGCTATGCTGGGTAGTGGGTGAGAGGCCAGCCAATACTAAGGAGCCAAAACTCCTAGAGGCAAAGGAGGCAGGCAGGAATTGGAAGAATTCCTGGGGATAAGCATCTGTGTGTTTGGTTGGTGTCTGTTCCAACAATTCTAGACTGTCTTCCCCTGCCTCAAGCTGGGATTTTCCTAAAGCTGTATCTCCTTGAGGGCAAGAAGGGCTTGCATCTGGTCCCAAGATTCAATTCCTTTCCTTTCTTGCTGTGCTATTCACTGCCTCATGTGTAGAGAGTGGGAGGCTGGCGAAATACCTGGGCCTCCAGATAATCAACAAGCAAGTATAAGAACTATCTCAGGTTTGCAGGGAATGCAGAGGATGCAGAATTGGGGCCCTAGGTCTCTCCTGAAGGAGGGGTACAGAATGACGGGCCTGGCAGTTGGAGCCCATCCAAGTGATTTCACATGAAATATCAGAACCATGAGAGGTGGGAGGAGAGAAGGGAGAGGAGTGAGGGGTGTGAGCCAGAGACAGGATGAGGGACTAAAAGACAGACATGAGAGAGGCAAGGAAGATGGAAGGGAGGGCAAGAGAGGGGACAGGGATGGGGAAACTGCAAAAGAAGACAGATAGGAGGAGATGTGGGTGAAGAAACTGAAAGGCACACAGGGTAAAACTCACAAAGATATGACGGGAAGAGAGACCCTCAGAGACTGAGGGATGGAAGAAGGAAGGGAGAGAGCCAGAAGGAAGAGCTGAAGGCAGACTCAGTCCCAGAAAAATCTCAGACAAAAAAAAAATATTTGGAGTCAGAAATACAGAGAGATAGACAGATCTGCTTGACAGAGATGAAGGTGAAGGAGGCAAAGTAGGAAGGAAGAAGACAGGGCTGCATTGAAGATGGGGGAGGGAGTAAGACAAAAAGAAAGAAGGAGGCAGGTGTGGAGCAGGAGGAGGGAACAAGACCAGGGAGGGGGACATATATTTGCTTTATGACCCTCTTCCATCTCACCTGGTCCCTGCTGAGTCTGGTCCCCTCTCAGGTGGTGCTGGGGGTGGATGTGCCCAGAAAGCTGAGAGGGTGAAGCTGCTGCCATCACTGCCCAGGCCCCCTCCCAGTGCCAACCTGGGGATCCCAGAGACTCTGACATGTATATGCCTCCCCTTCCGTCTCCCCCAAAATGCTGCAATCAAAAGACCCCTGAATCTCAGCCCTAAATTTTGCAGTTAAGGAAGCCTGGCAGAACCAGTGCAAGGGGGATTGGGGGTCAAGGAGAAAGAGAAACAGAGCCAGGCAGGAAGTCAGGCTGACAAGCTCTGGAGAAAGTGCTGGGGACAGACTGGTTAGGGATCATATGGAGAATAGGGAGGAGAGGGTAAGGACTGGGCCTATGTCTGCATTGAGAGCTAAATAAGCACGATGCAAGGTATAAGCAAAATAACCTACTAGTGACTGTCCATTAATTTGGGGCAACAATGTAGACACCTTCTGAGCAGTCATCATCAATGACTTCAAGCAGCTCTCCACTAAAGGGCCCCCACAAATACACATATGAAACATGAAAAAGGAAAAACTGAGGCAAAGAACAGAGACCTTGAGGCCAGTGTAGATGCTTGAATCTAGGTTTCAAAGGGCCAGTGATGAAGCAACCAGACACATTTGTGAAGACCCAAGACTTAGCATGGCAAGTTGGACCCTGCCGTTTTCCCCAGGGTTTATTGGGTCTCTGCAAAGACTACCCTCCCCAGCTCTTCTCAGAGCCAGGGGAGACCCTAAGAACATTAACTCAAGCAATTTAAAGGGGAGTTGTTCTCTCTGGCCCACTTCCCTGACAGTCACATTTGCAGGTCCCAGAGGCCAGAAGTCTGGTTATAACTAGAGCCCAAGGATTCTCTTTAGCAGCAGGAGGGAGGGTGGAGAGGGAAATTTCCACAGAATCCTTTGGAGAAGACAAGACAGCAAAACCCACCAGTTCCATCCCACTCCCGTGGACACATAGAAGCTTAATAAAGTTTAGAATGTCCAGGGCTACTAAGTAATTAAAGCCAGGATCTGGGTAATTACATTTCTTCTCTAAGCTCTACCCTTGACCTCCCTCCTCCCCCATGGACACACATCTTTTATGAAACACATTGAGTCAGAAACTTTAAAAACTGCCTCCACTAGAGAGATGGCCTTAATTTCAGCAAAGAAATTTAGAATACATTATGAAAGGATTTCCTTAGACCTCAGGTAGGTAAATGCTAGAACCAGAAACACACACACACACACACACACACACACACACACACACACACCACATAGGAAAAGGAAAGCCCTCTCATGACTATTTTTTTTGCCTGTGAGTTTCACCTTCTCATGATCTGTCCCACATTAGGGAAGAAAATATAGTCTCTCTAAACGTTAGGAAATCAATTCCCTTCTAACCCTTAGATCCAGGAGGGAGATGGTTGTTTCCCTCCCCCAGTCATGACAAACATTCTGAAGAAAGGTGACAGAGTCTCTAGGTAAGAGCCCAGTATGCAGAAGCCTACTTTGCTGTTCTATCCCCCAAGGCCTCCCTCAACTTCGGATCTCCACCAATCTGCACCTGTCAATGAACATTCTTTGGACTCCCCCTGTAAACCCAGCCCAGGGGGAAAGAAAGCATTACAAGGGAGGATTAGCAGGGCCCTTTACTCTAAGATGTGAGAAGACAGACACACAAGACAAGAAACCTGGCAGAGAAAAAAAACATATAAATTAATAGAGTGTAGCCATATCCTTCCAGGGCTGAGGGAAAGAAGATGGAAACAGAGATTGAGAATATAAAGCAAGATCAGAGGGAAAGAAATAGCAGATTTAAAGGCTGGGAGTGCTGAGGGCTTGGGAGCCAGGAGGCTGTTGTGCTCAGCAGATATGGAGACAATAAGCTGAGAAGATATCAAAGATGAGCATGAGGGTGGTTTAAAATGCCTAACATGGGGCGCCTGGGTGGCTCAGTCAGTTCTTGGTTTCGGCTCAGGTCATGATCTCACAGTTCGTGTGTTTGAGCCCCACATTGGGCTCTGCGTTGATGCTTCGGAGCCTGCTAAACAAATATTCTTTCTCTCTCCCTCTCTCTCTCTTTCTTTCTCTCTCTCTCTCTGCCCCTCCCCTGCTTACACTCTCTCTCTCAAAATAAATAAAACTTTAAAAAGATAAAAAATAAAATAAAACGCCTAATGCATTTAGATATATACATCTTTACAACTGTACAGAGTTCTGTGGTATAAATTTCATTTTATTCTCAATAATAGGACACAGAGTAGGTCTCTTTTACAGATAATAAAACCATGGCACAGAGAGGTTAAGTAACTTGCTTCAAGTCACAGAGCTGGTAAGGGGAGGAGCAAAGAATCAAAGGACGGCACTGTGGTGCCCCCTCCTTCAGGTTCTGCCTTGGGAAGCACCCAGGCTTGGGGCCTGTTGTGTGAGGGAGAAGTGACCCCCAGAGGGCAAAAGACCTGCCTCCTGGGGCCCTTCTCAGCCTGTTCTTCCCAGGAGAGCTTGGCCAAGTTGAGGCCTCATCTGGGAAGTGGGGAAGTCATACCTTACCCTCTGAATATGAAAGGCTAAACCAGATCATTTACTGAAGTTCCTTTAGCTTTAAAATACAGAATTCAGTCCATGGAAGGGGTGGATGAGGGGATGGTCAGGATAAAGGTCTCAAAGCCTTCAGTCTTCCCAATACCCCTCCACACAATCCTGTGTCCCTCTCTATCTCCTGATCCCCAGGGGTCTCTTCCCCACTTGTCTTGGCCCTGGCAGTACCTCCAGCCATGGCTCACTAACCTGTGCAGTCCAGGCTCAGTCATCCTCACAGCCTCTGAGGATACATCATGCTGATTTCCAATCTAAGTATTTATTCCAGGCCAACAAAGCTGTCTCCTACCTGCCTTATCGTTTGCTCATCCTGTTTCAGAATCAAGAGAGAAGTTCTCTTCTTTTCCTCCTCCACCCCATGTCCTGTTGGGTTTGTCCTACAGCCCACTCATAACTCCTTTCCTCCAGGCAGCCTTCCCTGATGAACTAACTTGACTTGATTCTGAATTTCCCCTTGCCCTTTGCACTTGATCTGTGTTGAGTGAGTATCATCGGGTAACTTTGCATATTAGTTGGCAGGGAGGAGACTGTAAGCTCCCCAAGGCCAAGACCACTTGTCCCAGTATTTCAGGCAAATGCAGGTTTCATGCCTCCAGTACCAGGCTGGGAAAACTCCCACGAGTACAAATACCTGTTTTTCACAAATGGACAGGAACAGTAATCTGGGCTCTAGTGGCCACCAGAAATGTCTCCTTCTGTCACATGCCGCAAAAGTATCTCCTTCACAATGACCTTTCAGAACCATTTTGGAGGAGCGCACATCCTCCACCATGTCTGCCCACATTCACCTTGTATTTAACTGGAAATACTGCTTCCCGGCTAGGTCCTCAACTTATTCTCCAGCCTCAGAGAAAACTTGGCTGTTTTTAAAAATCAGATCCACCCTGAAGGACAAGCATGTGCCTCTGGTGAGGATGGTCAGAGCTGTGCTGCAGGCTGTGAAGGCGATCCCCACAGAGGATGCCAGGTGACCAGGCACCTGCAGCAGCAGTTGTAAGTGCTCTCGTGAAGAAGATGGTTGTGTGGAACAGGTTCCTTGTACTTACAACATGAGAGAGAGAAAGTCACCCTAAAAAGCACTCACTGGCCACCTCCCCACCTCCCCAAAGCGTTGTTCCATCCCAGCCCAGCCTCTCTGGGGAGACAAGCACCCTGTTTGCTCCCCACTTTCCCCTCATCTGCTTCTCAACAGACTGTCTCTCTCCCTGCCCCTCTCTCCCTCCTGCAGTGAGAGGCTCCCTCCTTCTCCCTGTGTCTCTGCACACCTGCTTCCATCATATTCCTTCTCTTGCTCTGTCTCCCTCTGTCTTCTGTCCATTTCTCTACTCCCTGTTCCACTCTCAGTTTCTCTCCCTCTGATCTCAGTCATGGCTCTGTCATTTCTTCTCCATCTTAGTCTTTCTCTAATTCACATCTTGTTTCTGTTCTCCCCCCTTCCCCTCTACTGCCCAGAGCAGTCCTGCAGAGGGAGGGGAGTGGGGTCTCCTTCAGCACCAGAGGACTAGGTCATTTTGTATGAAGCTCTGAATTGTTGTGTTCCTGCCACACACACACACACACACACACACACACACACACACACACACAGACACACACACCAGCTGAGCCCTTATCCTTTGCAACCTCTACCTGCCCCTTCTCACTGCCTCCCCCTCTGGTCTCCACCTCCTCTTTTCCCTTCTCTGTCTCCCTCTCCCTCCCTTTCTGTGCGCACTTCCCTGGCTGCCTCCTCAGTTCTGGACCTGGATGCATGGATCTGTCTTTGGATCTGGGTCCATGGCTTTTGGACCCCCTAAGCCTGAGTTGAACTCATGTGTCTCAGGTATCTGTCTCTACTATCTCTGACCTCTGGGTATCTCTGTCATGGATCTATCACTCTATTCTCTGGATGCTCCTCTCTTTCCTCTCTCTTGTCTCTCAGTCTGTCTTCCACTCTCTCTTCTACTATGGACTGTCTCTATTGACTCTATCTGCATCTCTTGGACTGCACAGTGCTCATACAGGCTCTGTCTTCTTGTTCCCACTCTGCTGGTCTTTGCTTGAATTTACTGGGCCTTTCTGTCCCTATCAGTGTATTGGTGCTCCCAAACCCCATTTCTGCCTCCAAGTTCTGTCCTATCATTCCTGGGGTGGGGTGGCGCTAGGGGAACAGAGGGGACATGGCAGGCAGCACTTCATGTGGAAGATGGACAGCTGGCCCACTACAATATAGTGCTGGATCCAAATGCATCCCTTGGTCCTCACAGAAGATTCTCCAGGACTCCAGATGCTGGTGGCCTCCTTGCCTGCTATACTCACCTGTCAGACCCTGAGGCTTGGCCCTCTCCATCCCCAGTCTGTCCATTAGGAGTTGCTGGAAATTCTGGGAAGTCACTTGAGGTCCCCCTTGGTCAGGTATCTACTTGTCTGGAATATTCTGTCAAAAGAGGTTTCAGTAGATGTGAGAGGACCCACTAGAGGTGCTTTGCTGGAGGGGCACATGAGTGTGCAGAACAGAAAGCCTGGGAGCTTTGCCTCTGCATCCTGGGCTAGACTGCCCAGGGGCTCCTTGTACCCCTCAGACAGGCCCACATGGGCAACCAGCTCAGGGAGGAGATGCAGCAGGTCTTCAAATACAGGATGGGGAACCAAAAATATGTGTGTCTCTCTTCTATCTCCTCATGGCACCTGTAACCCTCCTTGATCATCCCAGTGATCATGGGACCCCAGCTCAAATCCCAGTCATTCCAGCACCTCCTCCTCAGTCATTTACCTGGTGCCCCTTCCTCCACCTCTCCCCCCTGTCCACCCAATGGCACTTGGTCCTCGGGGTGTCTTCCCAAAGACAGGCAGTCACTAATGAGCACTAGAAGGCGAGGGTCAAGGGCAGTGTGGTGGGTGGGAGGGGATTCCAGAGCAAGCAGATAAGGAGTCCTGTCAGCATCTGTCAAATATGCCATATCCCTCCCTGCCAATCCATCTCCCTGCTGAGGCTGAGGGACTAAGTTTAGCCACAAACTCACAAAAGCCTAGATGCACAAAGCATGCTCAGCTCCAGACCCATTTTCTCCAGCAATCTCACTACCCGTGCCAGACAGGGTTTGAAAGTTCCTGAAGATTCTGGGAAGCTGAAGTTGTAGATGGAACTCAAGGAGAAAGAGAAATTGCTCCCTCTGCTCAATATCTTGATCTCAGCTGCTTGTCTCCACCACACATTACCAAAAGCATAACTTAAAACCTCAGGCAATGGCAAAGAGGGTTAAATCTCAGGAAGACTTTCCAAGCCCTAAAGAGATCTTGAGTGCTCCAGAACCCAGGGGATATGGGGGGAAATATGAGGTTGGATGACCTTATTGGGATGCAGTGTTGTGCATCCTGATACAAGCAATTTCCATCTGGGGGTCTAGGGAGATAGCTCTGTGAACTTGACGGAACTTTCCCAGCTTCGACCTGCGAAGAGCGTGGCAGCCACAAGAGGGCAGCAGAGAACAGCTCTCCCTGCAGAGCCAGCCCTGGGTGCTGAGATAGAGCTGGACTGCCCAGGCTGGGGGAGTCTTTGGCTCCAGCAATAACCCATGAATTTCCAAATTTAGGAAACCCTTCCTGCCGCCCTTTCCACTGGCATTCGTTGTTCACTTTGGCCCCTGGAATTCCATCACCCATCCATCCCCCTTCCATTTTCTGGGGGCACAGTAGAGACACATGGGTTTTCCTTTAAGATTGTACAGCAGGTGACATCCCAGCTTACCAAGGTGATGCTTCACAGGATCTCAACTGATAACTAAAGCCAGAACTGGAACCCACGTTTTCTTGCTTGCCAATACAGAGGTCTTCCCATTTTGTGCTGACTGCTGCTCCTAACAGAGAAGCATACTTTATAGGCCCCAGTGGGAAGCCTGCTCACCTCACTTGCCAGCATGTCAAAGCTGTACCCTTCCTCATGTGATATGTTTATAGACATGACAATGCACACAGGACTGTTAACCATGGAGCACAGACACGTACACCACAAACACTGTGCTGTTCACACCCTCACCTTCAGCACACACACCCCTCTGCCCCTCAGAGTCCCACGGCCCCTGCCTCTCTCTTCCTATTTCATGAGCTGCAAGAGGAACTTCTCTTCATAATTTGCTCTTTCCTGTATTAACAAAGCTTCCTCAAAACTGCCTGACAGCGAAGCACTTTCCCATATTGAATCTTAGTCCCTCCCACCATAGCCCTGTACGCATGGAGAGGAAGGGCCATCCAGAGTCCACACCTCTCTCTTCCCAGGGATCCTCTCTCTCAGGCCCTTCACTGCTCCTTGCTCCTCCCATCCCTCTTCTGACCTACTGACTCCTCCTCCAGATCCTTCTTGCTGCCACTGGCCCTTTTTTAACCTCAAAAGCTGGGTCTCCTACGGAGGTGAGCACTGAAAGGAGAGAAGTAAGGATAGAAGGGACAAGGAAAAACCTAACTTCAGACCAGGAGAGGGCTCCATTCTGTTGCCTTTACCTTCAGCTGGAAACTTCTGGTTTCAGTATGATGACCCCAGTGTTCTGACTAGCCTTACTTCCTCCCCTCCTGGTAGCTAAAGAGCTATAAAATAGGATAGTAACTGGATTGAATACATTGATTAATTGGAATAGAGACAGTTTGGGGGAGGGGAGCAAATGTGCAAACGTGTGAACTGATGGGATAAATGCATGAAAAAAGGCAAACCACCCCCCTACCTACCCCTTCCATGTAGCCCACACACACATGAATTCCCTGCCATTCCCCAACCCAGGACTCCTTCCTTATATAACAAGATGAGAAAAATATGCCAACCTTCCAAAAACCTCATTCCAACTTTCATCCCATAGGGGAAACCTGAAAAGACAGAAATCTCCTTTTTTTTTTTTTCCTCACCCCATGTGCCTCCTTGTTCACTGTGCAGTTTCCCACTAGACCCTCTGGTTGCAGCCCCCACACACTTTCCCCAGAATGGAAGAGGCACCAGATATAGCCTCCTCCTGCAAAGGACTGAAACAAATGCCGGTCATGTTAGGGGCCTCTCAAGGTACCCATTATGCTATGAATTCTCAAGTCAAAACCATCTGATGTTTTCAAGTGGATGCTAGGCAGCAGGGGAAAAAACTGTAAGACAGCCAATTGGGAGGGAGCAGGAGGAGCCAGTCCTTGTCCTTGTGCTCCCAGAGTCAAGTTCCACTAGGCTGGAGTCCTGTACAGAGCATACCTCTTAACTTAATCAGTAAGGTGGGTGGCAGCAAATGAGGCAAGGGAGAAATGGTACCTCAGAGGGAGGGTGCCTGGACACAGCCCCCCACCTTGAGTCCATAGAGCCAGGGCTCCTGGCCAAGATGTCTAAGCAGTGGCAGCAGAAACAGAGGGGGGTAGTCAGGAGAATTTGGTGATTCTCAGCCCCCAGTAAAGGGTGCTGTACTTGGTGGGGGTGGGGGGAGTAGAGGAGGATGTATCATCATGGGAGCTTATGAGGGACTGGATTTTGGTTCCTGGAGAGAAAAAGGCTTCAAAGGGACTCTGGTGAGACCAGAAGGACTCAGGCTGACTGAGACAAACACTGCCTCCCCTCTTCCCTCCCCAATATACCCACTCTACAGAAGACAATAACAAGGGCCATGATGGAACTCAGCTTCCCCTCCCCCAGCACCTGTGAATCCTGACGCCCAAGCAGAGAGAGTTCTCCAGGGTGTGAACCACTCTGTCCCATGGTCTTCATCTCCACAGACCCAGTGGGGCAGGAGAGAGAAGGATGGAGGAGAACCTGAGGTAGAACTGCCCTCCCTCAGAACCTTCCTCGCAGGGTCCTTTCTCTGGTCTCCTTCCCATCTGCAGTTCTTCTGGGCATATGGTGGTTCTCTCCACTTCCAGTGCTCCAGGCACGACTGCAGTTAGACCACAGAAGGGACTTACCAGGTCTATGGTTAAGATTAATATCTTAACCATAGCCACACACAGGCTGGAGTAGGGAAGGCTAAGGAACCTGGGTTTTTCTGAATAGGCCCAAAGAGCTGAGCATGATGAGACTGTTGGAGAAGTGAATAAAGTACGCCAAAGATTGCCGATGGGGCTAAAACAGACTCTGGTCTCTAGCTTAGAGACCTCTCTTCCAGGTTCTTTTTCCCTTGCTGCGCTCTCGAAAACCCCCATAGATACGGAAGCTGATGACTATAAATTACCCTCCCCACTTGCATTTGGCGCTCAGATCTTTGGAGAAATGGTCTCCTCTGAGCTTGCTGGTGTTAAATAAATCTCCTATCCACCAAGATCTCTGAGTGCTGCTTGGTTTTTCCGCCAGCATTCCAGACTTGTTCCATAAACATATTTGGTTCCCTGACCAGGAAACCCAATCAAACTGGCCCATTGTTGCCACCGGTTTGGAAAAACGGTGAGGCAGTGACAGAGCAAGTGATCGCAGGGGAGAAGGCGCACTCTGCCTGAATTTCAGCAGTCTCCTACTCGGTCATCTTGGGCCCGCCCCGCTCCATCGTTCCCGCCGGACTCAAAGAGACCTGGTAGTGAGGACCTGGACCTGACGTTGGAACTGGTAAGGCTGAGGCCCCAAAGAAGGCCCACCCAAAAGGGTGGAAGGGGGACATGATCAATCCCCGGAAGCCTTAATGGTCTCACAGGTAGAAAATTTTATGGGAGGGAATGTAATAGACTCTGGGGTGTGTGTGTGTGTGTGTGTGTGTGTGTGTGTGTGTGTGTGTGTGAATGTACGGCTCGGCCAGGCTTGCCAGTCAAGTTTGAGTTTGTGGCTCCATGGATGGGCACCCTTAAGGTACCCAAAAGTCTATGGAGTCTGAATGGGCTATACTGTGTCATGGTGAGTGTACAAGGCCTAGGGTGGTATCAGATCAGATTCCGATGGCAAGTCACAAAGCTGAGTCGGCTATGGCCAAACCTCACCTAAAGTTTCCCTCAGGAATGCAACCAGAGGAGTATCTGATTGGTCCTCTCATCTGAGGGGATACCCTCCTTTTGTCTGTCTTTGTAACACCAAACAGGAGAAAGAAATTAATAATGGGATCAAAACAGAGTAAGCCTATGATTTTAGAGGTCATGCTCAAAAATTTTAAAAAAGGATTTTCAGGCAGTTACGGGGTGAAAATGACACCCATGAAGTTAAGGACTTTTTGTGAACTAGAATAGCCCATATTCAATGTAGGATGGCCCCCAGAAGGGACATTAGATGCTTAAATAGTGCAGCAGGTTTGGCTAATAGTCACTGGGAACCCAGGCCACCCTGATCAGTTTCCATACATTGACCCCTGGCTTGGCTTGAAATTGCCCAAACTCCCCGCCCGGGGTGCGATTCATCGTTAGCAAACAGCCAGACAAAGGTTTTAGCCACTTTATCCGGAGGCTCACCCAGGGAGCCAAAGAAGTGACCCACTCTTTCTCTAATATTTAAAGGAGATGTGGAAAAAGATATTGTCTTTCTGCCTC